ACACTATTAAGCAATTTACACTATTTAAGCAATTAAATACCCTATTTAAGCAATTGTATACAATTTGTATGACACTAATCACTAAGGTTACTGTGGTGCAGATAAAGTTTTGATTACTTGAACACTGAATTAATTGGCACTCTATACTTAATATATATTGTCATTCGCTACCTTGTATATTGCACAAAAGTGAAAACACTGTTGAGCACAGTAGATATGCGAACCAAGGTGCAGTGAAGATAAATGTTAATTAAGTGGTACCGATAATCACAAATAATTAATTAATTTGAATACTAAGTTAGAATCATTACTACTTCACAAATGCCAGTTAATACATTGTGATTGATAACGTTATCAGGAATGCAAGAAAAATACAGCAATTATACTTGAGTACAGATAATAGGAGAACTGAGATACATAGCAATTGGAGTAAATTTGGTAGAAACCGATAAGTACAGATAATTAATTAATTTATTTAAGCGAAAACCTAATAGTCCGGTTTCTCTAGAAGTTTTTTTTTTTTTTTTAGTCTGTATACTATTCGTCACTTAAGGATGACCAGTAAATTTAATGTAGTTAAATAGCAGATATTTGCGGTAATTGGGGAGACGAGATAATTAATTATTGCTGCTAATTAAAAATTAAAGAACGAAAGGCCTACCTTGGCCGTTATTTTCTTCTGTTTTCATCTGTTGCTTGCACTGCAGGTAATCCAATGTAATCCGATTGAGAAAAACACAGAAATTATAGGAACACTCACACTGCACTGTATAATATCGCAAAAATTGAAGAATTTCTTAAGTCCCGAAAATTGCTGAAGAAATTAGTAAATTCAGAAGTTATTGACGATTTTCTCCAATTTTGAAACTTCCACTTCCTGGGGCTTGAGTTGAAGAATGCCGTTTATTCCAGAATGCTACGCCAATTAGGGGCTTAATTAGCAGGCTGATTAGTATTACTCCAGTACCCTTGTTTTACCTTTGTAGACTGGTTTCAATTCGAGGACGACGGGGGGTAGATGACATCCGGTTGACCGTCGAGTGGGAAAAGTCAGAGTTCACCAAATTAAAACGTGGTAAATCATATACAAATTAATTTAGCGTCTTTTAATTATCTCACTGGCTATAAAATTACCATCAAAATATTCGTGAAGATGTGGAGCACCCTAGCAGTATGAAACTCCAGGCTCATCTATGAAAGGCGACTGCTGGGCGGGCGTTCAAATACGCGTTGTAAGGCTTACTCGGGTATTTCGAAGCGTAGATGAAGTAATTAATCTGTAATTAATTAAATGGTGGACCAATCTTGAAAAAATTTGCATCGATGTGCTCCTTAAGATGTTGGCTATTCACTGCAGGTGGTTTTAGCTAGATGCGCTGCGTATTTCCGCGAATGCTGGGGTAGAAAACGGAGCAACAAAGGAACGACCTTCACACACGCCTTCAACCTCACAACCTTTACGAGAGGTGACGGCCTGAGAAGGGGTTGGTCGTACGTCAAATCGCAGCTGATACCCAATGGAGCGAGCAGGTGATCGGCTATGGCGAAATGGTGGAACAAGAACCTGGAAGAGAGGGTGCAGGTGCACCAGAGGACATCAGCACGCGTGATCGACGCTTCCGCCGACAGCTGGGCGATCCCGCAACCACTGTACCGCGATCTGCAGCATTGCAAGATACCCTGGATATTCCCCGTTCGACCAGAACCATTCCCGTCGATGGTGAATTGCGCACTCACGGCGTCCGTTCAGAACTGCCATTGAACCCACGCATAGACGCCACTTTGAATGTGACGACTGCAGCGCGTGATGACAAATGGCGCAACTCGGTCTCAGATGATCACGCTCTGTTATCTTGATAGTCGCGCATCGTGTGTTCTAGCGTCGAGTGGATACAGATCTAATCCGCCATTACTGGGAACGCCCCATGCGCGACAACGTGCATAATGGTTTGGTGCGTTGCCTCGATTCGTCAGCTTAGTCGTATTCAGGGCACCATGAGGCCCACGATACTTGATAGTACTACGCCGGTGGCAATCCCTACCTTCGGGGCTGCCTAGCAATTTTTCAGCAGGATAATGTTCGACCCCCAGTGCTCGCATCTGCCAACATGATCTGCAGGATACCGATGCTTCCCTGGACCACCGTTATATCCTTACCTTCACCAATATAACATTAGGGGATGTGATTGGATGCGTTGCAGACTCTGGCATGCCTCGTCAGAATACGAACTTGTCAAATGGTTGAAAGAAATGGAGAGCCTCCCAGACACATACGCACTCGTATTGACTCTATCCAGACATGTTTCTTCGTGCATCGCTATCAAGGTGGTCCTACAGCCGACGCCGTCTCGTTCTGTATTCTATCATTTTGAAAGAGATTTCTGCTTGTGTCTCTGTCTTTTTTCCAAATTTCATCACTTCTGCGACTCCTTCTGGTGTTCATTCAAGGTCAGAAGTGTATATCTCCTTTGAAGCTATGGGAATGGGGGCCCAATCGCCAAATCCTGGTGGTGATGAATTTTTGTCCACCACCTTTTAGTTCGGACGCCACTGTAGAGTCTGGTGGGTTTTTTTTAATGACTTTGCTATCGTTCAAAGACTAGCGATGTGTCAAGAACTATACATATGACTTTGCTATTGACTTTATTGAATTTGCTATTAACTAAACAATGACTATGTTAAACCTGTGACAGTGACTATTAATGCGTCTGAGCTAAATAAGCTATGTACTGAATAACGAATGTACACGCAGCACATTGTGCTAAACTGCAACGTACATCTTGTAAACATTTTTCTTGTTGCAATTGTAAAAAATTTTGTTCAATAAATGACAATCCACTATGAGAGCATTATTCCCGTTTGGCTAACTCCTTCGGACCGGAGCTGTCATAGTGGCAGTCAGGTCAGGTCAACATATCCTCTCAAGTGAATAACATGCAATCTATTAAGACCCGCGAAATGCAAAAGGAGGATCCGAAACTGAGCTGAGGAGATACTAATTTTTACACTGGAGAGTGTATTCAAAGAAATTATTAGGAGTCTTCAATAGCTTCGGTCAAAGATGAGCTTGGGTATTATTTTTTTATTGCCGGGAGGTAATAACTCTTAACCAAAGTGAATTTCCCTTATATAACAAGGAAAATATCTTTTTGTTTAATATTTAAAAAACAAAAAGTTAAGAAAACATAGAGATGAATTAATAGAAATGTAGGTAAATTAACTGAGGTTAAAAAAAAAAAAAAAAAAAAAAAAAAAAAAAAAGATAGTTATTTTGCTTGACTAGAAGGTGGCAATGAATGTGAAAGCTACCTATGTAAGGAATGGATGATTTCATGATGAAATCGTTAAGAGAAATACTCTCATATTTGTGCTATCCTTGAAATAATAATAATAAATGAAAGCACTTATTTCACCTAACTGGAAACAAACGACCATTGTTCAGCGGTCTTACCCAGTCATACACAAAGATGAAATATACGAAATAAAGACTTACCCAAAAAGGAAGTCATGCTAAGGTATTTCTCCCGCCTTCTTAGCATGCCTTCGTGGTGTAACGAGAGAGGTCCAGAGTTCGAGACCCGGCGAGAGCACAACACATTTCTTCAATTTCCTGCTTCAAATAAATATGCAGAATAACCTAATAAATATGCAGTGACGCCCGAAATAAAAAAGGTGTAGGACGATTGGGTCCCTTAATCCCCAGTCGCCCTTTAAAAGGGGAAGTATATTTCTCCACGCCTTCTTAGCATGCCTCCGTGGTGTAACGGTCAGCACGCTTGGCGCGTATTCGAGAAGTCCAAGGTTCGAGTTCCGGCGAGGGCATTGTTCATTTTTCCTCAAAATAACCTAATGACTGTACAATGTTCTGGAAGAAATTCTATCCGGAAACGGATATTGGATGTGTTTATATATTATTATTCTCGAATCCATAATTGAGGAGGACCAAAAGGTTTTTCGGTCTTTTTCAAATTTATTATTGTAGTTTCCTTTGAGGAAAGAACTCTATCAGTTGCTTCGTTTTCATTCAACGTTTTTCCTCTTCGAAAATAAGATAACATGTAATCTATTATGGCAGGATCACTCTTGAAGAATAGGAATGCTAGGCTTGTCCACGAGAAGTGTACTGTGTCAAAGAAGTCTTCAGTAACGCCAGAATCTGTACGAACTTTATCGAACCGAACTTTCAACAACTCCCGTTTTGCTTTCGACATAAGTGAGTCGATTAGAATAATTCGACTTAATCCGTCTCTCTAGAATCTTCTGTGTAGAAAGAGAGTAGGAAAAACATTCGGGAGTATATAAAGAGCTCACAGTTTGTTCTTTGGAAACTCGCTTAACGCGGGATCTTTAGGAACTTAACAACAGCATTATCAGTGAGCTAACTATACAATGGTGCCTGTTGTCAACCAAAAATAATATAGCAGCTAAAAATACTAATTTCATAAATCAAATTATTGATTAATATCAATATTTCAATTTTTAATTTTTTTCATTAAATTTGGTGTTAAAACATTTTCAAATCAGATTTATCCAGTAAAATCCAATAAATAGTTGAGTACATTTCCGAACTGAAAATATCTAGAAATAAAAATTATTATTAAGTAATAATTTTAAAATTATGCTAATGGCATAATCATACAATCTCAATATAATAGTGTCATCTCTATAAAATTTAATAAAAGTTTCCATCTCAACAGAATAAATAATTTTGAATTTCAGTTTTACTAAAAAATATATCTGCAACAGAGATTAAATTAAAAGGAGTTTAGAAGTTTAGCATTCCGATAAAGCAATTGAGAAAGTTGTACTTTTAGTTCAGTGTAAATTCGAGTACATTTTTCTCTATGTATGCTTGGTTACAACAAAGTCTGAAACTATTGGTTTCTTTTTTTTAAGGTGCTTTGATGTGAAGTAACTAGGGTAACAATCAGTAATACTTTCGGTTCTCAAAGAGCTTATCTTATCATTTGTTCAGATTCCGTTTCTATTAAAGAAAATTTATACTTCGATTTAAAAAGTATTACGTGTATTGTTGGTGGATTTTCTGCTTGTAGTCAAAACGATATTGACAAGTATCAAAGTAAGTGTTTAATTGTACTAAGGTATTTACGAATATCATTTTCAGTAAATTGTGAGGTGATTCTATTTAAAAATATTTGCATTAATTCTTTTTTTCCTTTGAAAGGTCTTAAAACTATGTTATTCAAATCAAGCAACATTCGATTTTAGTTAAAAGAAATTCAATTTCAGATTGTGTTGTAAAAATTCATTTTTAACTACAGAAACGAAATCTTACATAGATTAAATACTCCGGTAGTCTATTTTCTTGCATCAAAATTATTTAATTTTATGTTAATTTCGCTCTTTTCACTTCCTTTGTAATATCGGCTGCTTTCGAATTAATTACATATTGTCACAAGAAAAATTTCAGATCTGAGTTACTTACAGTTGTAAACTGCTTATTGATATTAAAGATCTGCTTTAACTATATTTGTTAAATTTTGAGATTTTAGGTGTGGTTAAAAAAGTAGTTGCATAAAATGATGATTTTTGATGCATTTGGAAAAACACAAAGCGTATAACAAAATTTAGCAATAAAACAAGTTTTTGTAATTTTCAAAATATCTATCTAGAGAAAAAAAAATTAATTAATATTTGCCTTCTGGATGAAAGTATAAAAATTAATTTACAAAGAAATGCGTGATTTTTATTTGCAAATTTGCCTCGCTCCGAGTCTGATGCATTATTTTGGAAAAACTGAGAGATATTTGATATTTATTCAACTTACGAAGGTGGTATCATATGAGGAAAACTGCAATAACAATTAAAATTCAGTTTTAGTGTCTGATATGTTTACTGTTAATAAAAGTAGTAAAATTCAATTAGGTGGTCTGTATTATTACAGCTAGTCCCAGAAGTTTTTCAACAATGCGAAATAAATATAATATTAAACAAGCAATAAGACGTAGAAAAATTTATTTTGGGTAAAATGTATAACTTCGTTAAGAAGTAAGAAATATTCGACAAGAATAATTCGAAACTGAACTAGTTCAATTGAAAAATATTGTAGTAAAAAACATGTAACTGTAAAGTTTATTAAACTTCTAAACTGTAAAGTTAAAATCCGTTAACTTTCTTTTAGAAGCATTTCTAAACTTTAGATTTGTAGAATTGTTAAAATTCGCTCTAGCGCGAATCCTCGACTAGCTAGTAGTGTTCTAACGATATTATTTTTTTTAACCAATAATATATGACGGTGCTAAATTCTTTTCAGAAAACTGCGTAGACTACTCAGAAATTGAAACGAATTCATTTTAGAAACACATCATTTTCTAGTCCTACTGTCAAGCAAGACTCGTTTTGTATGACTTATCTGAACCTGTTTCATTTTATTCGAATGCGCTTCTTTTGTGATATCTGCATATTTTTCTACTACATAAGAAATTATTACATACCCAATTACAGTGGCTCACATTTGTTTTCGAACACTTATATTGTTGAAATTTATTCGCATAGATCTTGTATTAAATATTGGAACATTGACTTCAGATTTTTGTTCCTAATATAATAATTTTTCTCTATTTTAATTCTTGCAAATTAAATGTGATCAAAATATCCCTTGTAATAAAAAAAATATATTAATCAGAAACTCACATAATAATCTGGACACTCGAAAGTTTTATCAAAATGTTTTGACATACAAATGTTACTTGACCTAATTTTTTGTTTTCAATGAAAACAAAGCACAAGAATTGTTATATGCTTTTGGAAATTATCACTCGTTTAGTAAAATATATTAACGATCTCTGTCGGAAGTGAAAATGGCAAGAAGCTATAAATTAACAATAAGTTATATTCGAAACTTAACTATTCACGATTTGATTTTAAAGATGATAAAAATATCAAAGTTACTTAAAAAGTCCTTGATGCAAAGCTTTCAACTGTCTGTGATGTATCAAAATAATTGAAACTGCATGGAGTTGTTCAAAATGCAGTGAAGTTTGGACCACATTCCAAGCTAACAAGAAAGAATTGGTTACTTAATCTACGAAAAATCAAACAAATTAGTAAACAACACAAATCCTGTCTTGAGCAGCGCTTATTTTGCTAAATGATTAATTCAGCGGTTTAAAAACGGCTTGCAATAAGTTAACCCTAAAACTATTAGAAGAGTTATTACGATGTATAGGTACAGTGGGCGATCAGCAAGAAGGAAATTCTTCATCTACCAGAAAAGAAGGAAAATGGCATTCGCAAAACCCATGGTAAGCAAAGATAGTCCAAAAAACCTATTGCTTGCTGTTAAGCATGGGGTTTGTTTTGCTGCCCCTGAGATGGAAGTTTAGTTTTTATAGAAAATCATATGGACGAGTATAAATATAGTATAAATGTTCTTAACGAAAATCTTAAAGCATCTGCAATGAAAACTCATATAAAACACATTTAAATTCTTATCAGAGTAAAGATCTTAAACATACAGCCCTAAATGTTCGGTTAATATATATCTGCCCCGAAATTCTCAAAACCGCTTTAGATTCTTCTGACTTAAATCCTATTGAACATGTATGGAGTGAGATGGAGAAAAGAATCAGGAAATGTGATATTTCTTCGATCGAATGATCAACTAAAAGTAATTCTCACGGAGGAACGGAAAAAATGCAAAATTATTACAGAAAAATAATTAGCTGAATCGCAAAAGTGCATGAACATTGTAATTTTAGCCAAACTATATCCAACGTAATTTTGAAGTCATCCTTTTTCACGTTTTTATTAAATATAAATTCTTTGTTTATACCAAATTTTTGAATACTTTGCGAGTTCATTTTCAGAACTTCTCGAATAAATTATTTTATTCGCCAAAATAGTTTTCAATAATTTTTTTCCAAACCAAGTAGAATATATATAAGATGATCGGTAGTATATATGAAAGAAAAATAAAACGATTTCACTAATATTTATTGAATAATATTTTCAAACAAAACTGAAAAACACGAACGTCCGAAAACAAATGGGAGCTACTGTATTAAAAAAAAAAAAGTTCAAAATAATGATTTGGTTTAAAATTTGGTTCAACATTAAGGCTCTAATTAGTGTTTGATTCCTGAAAATAATTTATTTTATTTCATCTTGGAATTAAAATGTTGGCCACCTAAAAGCACCATTTTCTTCTCAGCTTCTACCACTTTTAAAAGTATGGCATTAGAGTAGGTTCATTTCTGGTTATGAATCTTTGTAAATTCTTAATTACTGGATTAATAATTTCATGCAAAAATTTTGAATTTTCGAAATGCAAACTCAAAATTGTAACATTCATCCAGAAATGAATTCTGAAAAGTGGTAAATTAGGAAAAACTATAACTTCCTCCCTGATGAAGAAAGGCAATTTTTTATAAATGTTCCACCTTTTTCTTTCGCTTTACATTGCTTATTCATTTTGAATATAATTTCCATCCCTTTTCCTTTTCAGACAAACCAATCATGAGCATTAAATAAGAATTTAGCAAATTTGTTTATATATGGGTATAATTTTATAACCTTTTCAAACACATTATTAATGAAAAATACAAATTTCTTTAAACATTTTATTTACGAATTAGGTGTTTGAAAAGACTATCTAAAATTCGATCAATATATTAGAAATTTTTCGAACTCGATATTAATGATAAATAACAAATAAAATATTCTTCAAGCATTTTGTTTAGTGAATTAAGTGTTTGAAAACGCAGTATTCCAAAATTAATAAACACGTTGAGAATTTTTTAATTAAAATAATTTTGGAAGAAATTTGTATAGCAGTACGCAGTGCAATGTCATTTATGCACATTTGTGAAAAACACCAACAGCACTTTTCTTTTAGCATTTTATATTGTTTCAGATTCTTACATTACTAGAAGTGTAACTGAGGCGCTCTGTTCTGTGGACTGTGACTAATAACTTCGATTTTCATTCGAGGTAAGTCATAGCAAATTTTTTATTAAAATATTGTATTTTCTAAGATTGATTCTTATTAAGAATTCTTATTAATTAAGACTGATACTTATTAATTATTATTCTTATTAAGAAGGATTTTTTAAAAATTCATTTTATTATTTTTTTAACCGAATCTCTTCAAAAGCAAAATTTTATAAAGCGAATAATCATCTTAAATTGTTTACATCAACATGCTATTTTTACTTCCTTGTACGAAGTAAAGGAAGTATTGTAATCGCAAAAATATCCATTTTGCCGCTATCGATGGAATTTAAGAGTTTTGCATGATATCGGTAGTAAGGCCAGCATAAAGGACTCCCCCCCAAAACGAATACACGCTGATTTAAACGATTCAGCAGAGCTTTTCGTGGCGTCTTATCTATACGTACGTATCTCGATAGCTCAAAACGAGTAGTCTCAGAACGTTTGAATTGTATGTGAAACATATAGTTGCACCTCCCTTTTTGGTGCAGTCGCCTCAAAGTGATATAGCAAATACCACGGTTACTCGGCTCAATGAGTTCAGTTTTTTATCTTATCGTTGGTAATGTGCATTTTGACTTAAAAAGATGAATTGTTTTCCGGTTAAGGTTTCTGCATTAGTTATCTGCAGCCTATTTTGAAATCAATATTAGAGTCTTGTTAAGTGCAGCTAGCCAATGTTCTGTTATCATGTAGCCATATTGTTACATTGAAACTTAGCAGAATAGTGAATTAATTCTTTCTGCACTTTCAGTGTCTTTTTACCGAATGGAGCAAAAGGAAAAACTTAGTTTTGTGCACCGAAAAATCTGCGTTCTTCCCCGCTGACCGAATTGCTTTTTTTTTTTCGTAGAAACTAATTTAAATTGTAAAAATTGTTTGATTGTTTTAACTGTATCTGGTGTTTTATGTTTTTCTTTATCTTCCAATATTTTAATGAGAATATTTTGAGGTTTTATTTATTTTTTTGTGGCATAGATGAGCAGGGAAAAAATTAGCAATTTATTGCAATAAATATATTGCAGGAAAATAAACACTGGTAAAGAGCTAAAAAAATATTTCAGATTACCTATATAGTAAACACTAAAGCCCAGTTCTGAATTCATGATTTATTCAGCTAATTATTTGATATGTCAACACTCTGGCTGACTGAATTGTCTTGCAGTGTGGGTTCCTGCTCATTGTAGCATCGAGGGAAACGAAACAGTCGATTTCCTGGGAAAGAAAAGAACGACTATTCTACAAACCACTAATAACCATATGACCTTCAATTCTGCAAAACACTCCTAATTAAATTTAAATTTAAGAGGAGGTTTGCCTCCTGCCTATCAAATGAGGTTAAGGGAAAGGCCTGAGAGTGTTTCACCAATTTAAAGCCAGTTAGTCTAGATTTTCCTTGTCCTGTAGTCATGGCGTTATTTCGTCTTTTGACTGGGCACGATTGCCTGAATGCCCATCTTTTTAAAATTCGACTTAAGGGCACTTCAGTCTGTAACTCTTTGTAACTCTGGACTGTCTATGGATAAGGAGCATATTGACGAATGCACTGCACTATTATCTTTTAATTCTATTGTTCTAAAGTATTGGGAAGCAAGATCAAGGCTAATGGGTTAGTGGCCAAATGTCTGGCATTTGTATAAATAAAAATTTGAATTGAGCTGAGCTACGAGTATGTCACTGAAGCAACTGGTCTCTCACGGTTCAACTCAGCTGTTTAAATGAAGTTGTTCGGCCTTCTAGAAGCTTCGGAAAAAGTAGATTTTACGGTTCTAAAGAGGTGTTTTCCGAAAATTGCTAAGTTTGCAAAAAATCTCCAAATGTAATAAAAAGTTTTACTAAAATTTGTTAGGAGAGTTTTTGTCTGTATTATGGCTTCTAGTTCAGTTATTTTTATAATTTAAAATGTGTTGATTCAGAATAAGAGGATCTAAAATTTTATACAAGAAATAAAACAAAATATGTGACCACAGCTTCAAATACACAAAATTCACACTAAAATTATTACATAAAATATAACAAATAAATAACAACACCACATAACATTCTAACAATACCCCAAAAAGAAAATACAATCAAACGGATTTAAATATTTACAAACATTTTCAACAATATTTAAAGGTACTCATTTCCCGTCGAGGGCTACCTCGAGGGCTGCCTAAGAGGAAGGATGCCTTCGTGGAGGACTTCCTAAGGGAAACTGGCTCCTATATATGTTACACATGGGGAAAGCGACGCACATGCAGCTAGTTCAAACTTCAGGATTCGAACCCTGGACGAACTACCAGTGTTCAGCGATGTTACCACTCAACCACTTATGGGTTCTGAGCTTATTGATCGTGCATTTGCTATGTTTTGCTTATCTGATTAAGATGTATTTTCACCGCGTGGAACTTGTGTCCGTACTGCATGCAGGCACTCTATATATGCGGCGAGCCAAACGTCCTCTCGAGAGGCTGGTGGTAGGGGAAGAGGGTTGGGAGACTCTTGGAACCGCCCCCCCCGCGTGCTCTCCATCAAAATTGAGAGGGGGGACTGAGCTAAATCGCACTGTCACCTGTAAGGTGCTCAAGGATGTTGCCAACAACTGGTGTAAACTTGCGCTGCTTGCCACGAGGATTTTCGTGATGAATTCCGTGATTTTCTATTCCACATTATGCATTATAGATTTTAAGTTTCGAGGACATAAGTCCTAAAATGCATATACTGAAAATATGGTGGAATTAAATCAAAATTTTTCAACTTGTTATTTCTGGATGCTCAGCTTCCTGTGTGAAGTCTTAAGAAATGCAATCTTAAATATCTCTTTAAGTAAGTATGATACTAGTTTAAATGAGCCTACACCTATGATAGCTAGACCTACTAATTTAAACCCCTGATACTAACTTAAAAAAAAAACTAAACAATGAGATAAACTTTCATTCCGCAACAGTTTTGCTCACGTAACACTTTTTAGCCAAAAATTGACACTTTTATATGCAGGCCGAGCAGAAAAAAAATTACAATGATAAAAGTGTTTTCATTGATGAATTACTTGAAAAAAATTGTCCTTACATTAGCAAAATTGTCATATGTTGATGATTAAAATTGTGTTTTTCTCGGAGGAGAGGGTGGGAACTATATGAAACTATCATTAACGTACGTTTTCGAATACAAATTTCTAGAAGATTTCTTGAACGCCTACTGAAAATATATGATATAAATATTGGTTTCGAGCTCCTATTTGGAGAAAGGCTATTTTTTGTTTTTTTGTCTTTTTTTTTTTTTTTTTTTATTTTTTTAACCAGTTTAATTTTCAGCAGGAAAAGAAGTTTAATTCATGCAATCGTAACATATACAGAGTAAGTCAGAAAAAATCAATCTGTTACAAGTAATTTATAACAACAATGTAATTGGAACAAATTTATCTGTAATATATCAAATTAAAATTTGACTATCCAAGTTTATTGTCACACATTACAGATGCCTTACGCGAGCTTCACGTGACGACATGGATGGCGTGGATACACGTTTCGAGAGCATTTGGGATAAAAGTATTTAAAAACAACATATCTTTAGAATTTCCGATGGGCAATCTCGCGTGCTGGAGATAAAAAATGTTTAACTGTTACCACTGTTCGCTTTGAAATGGTTGAGTTTTTTATCAAAAATTCTTTAAAGCTTTACAAATAGGAAATAGATAATGAAACAAATTCGAAATTCCAACTTCGGGCTTCCAGGTGCCCATATTCAGGTGGAGGACTACGTTACTCAAAATTTGACGGCTCTAGGTACTGTGGTTTTTTTCACAGTGGGAGAAACATGCATACATTCATGCAGATTCTTAATTTTTTTATTTCTTTAAATATAATACAGGACGATAATAGCTGGTGGCAACAATTTGAAAAGTGATTCAACACTTAGTGATTCGACGCAAAATGTCGTTTCGAGACTAATAGCTCTTCTGAGATAACGACCCTTTGGGCTAAGAAAAAAGAAAGAAAAAGGGAGAAGGAAGATTATTCCGAGAAGATATTAATGTTTGGCGAAACGCGAGGTCAGGTGAGAAACGTAGTGTCGTTTGGTCCTTTGGGGAGCAGCTCGATGTGTGTTGCATGATACTCATTTAGAGCACGGGTGATATGAGACAAGAAACTTGGATAATCAAAGCTAATTTCAGAGGTCACAGGTGAATATGGGCCAGTTACATTGTTTACTACAACTATTTGTGACAAGATGATGTTTTTAACACTTACTTCATATTTCGGGGCTAATATTTCGTATTATAAAACTGAGGTTCCTTAAAACCCTCTCACCTGCCCGGATTTATGCTAAAGTAAGAACAAATGTCCTAAAACTAACATGAGAAAGAATTTTTTCTTTTTAATGAATGTCGAAATTCCTCTTATACTTTACATCTTAATTTGTACTTTTAATATCTTTAATTTTATTTTAATTTCTTGGCCATATTTCAAGATGCACGATACTTAGAAAATATTCTAGGCTGTATATATACGGCCTTGCTGGCCAGACGGTCCTCTTGTGCTATATATTGCTATATATGTAATTTCAATGAATTTTAGTTTATTCAATATGTTTATATATATATATACGGCCTAGATATATTTTGTGATTTCTGTAAGAAGGTATATATTCACGCATCTTGAAATATGACCAAGAAATTAAAGCAAGGTATTGAAAGTACATTAATCCAGCTGTAAAGTACCAGGGTCATTTCGACATTAAAATCAAGAAAATCATTCTTTCTCACGGTAATTTAAACAATTTTTGTTTTTAGTAGTCTAACAAATGACTTTTATTTCGTTCATTCCTTAAACTGGATGCAGGTCAGAAGGGGAGATTGCCGGATTCTCCCGTATCTCATGATGAATTTTCGTAATGAAGCTGAGAAAATCCAAAAACCACTTAATTTGGCGATATTTCGACAAATTTGGCAACATGTAGCTCAATTTTGAATTTTTGTTTATACGAATAAATGGCATATTAATAAACCCAAAACTATTATTTATGCAAATTTTTATGCAAATTGCAGCTGCATGATGTAACTCTTTGTAAGTTTTAAGAATATTCTAAAAGCTATTTGCTACAAAAGGTTTTAGCTATTAATCAAGATATTAGCTATAGAATATTTTACCTAATTTTAGTGACATATTTTTAGCGTAATTTTAGCTATAGAATCAGAATTTTTTGCATGAACTATAAGCAGAATTTAAGATTTTATGGATAAAAATTTTTAAACTACCGATAAAGTAAAATAAAATAATTATACACATAAATATAAAGAATAAATGCTCGAATGTTTAGAAAGATATCTAATTAAACGTAAATAAATATGCAAAAACCTAAACAATCTATTTACACAAATTAATAACAAAAATAAAATTTTTCTTTTTTACAGGCAATAATGGAGGCCGATAAAAATAGCAAATATGATGAAAATCAAAATGATGAAGAAAAGAAGGATAAAAGCACTGTTTTAGAAAGCGCCTCTTCCGCCGTTCCACTAAAGGAAACTGAACATGTTTCAGATGAGGAAGAGGATATTTCTTGGAGTAGTGATGATTCTGATAGTGACGAAGAATACATTTGCACCCTCTGCAGCAAAACATTCAGTGGTGTCATTCCCCTAAAGCAGCATGAGAAAAGCGGAAGCCATTTAAGAAAGAAAATGAAAAAAAAGTTAGAAAAGAAATTAGAAAAAGAAATAGTCAAATTAGAGAAGTTAGAAGATAATGAGGAAGAAAATTTAGACTTCATTAAGGAGCCTTTTGCAGCTTGTAAAACATGTAAGAAATCTTTTGGCGATCCTCTATCGTACCATAAACACTTGATTTCTAAGAAGCACAAGAGGAAAGCATTCGAAGCAAAATTATTGCATCAGGTGAAAAGTAACGGTAACATTGATAGCGAAGCTCTAAAAAAGATGTTTCATAAGAAAGCAGATCCCACAAAAGAAGGCAAAGATAACACTCAAGCTTCTGGTGCTTACGAAGATATCCTAAATGACTTAAAAATAAAGTTATCTGTTTCTAAAGCAGAAAGTAAGAGCTCAGAAAGTGATTCTAGTGATGACGCTGAGGAATTCAACTGTACAGTCTGCGACAAATATTTCGGTAGCCTCGTTACTTATTTCCAGCACATGACAAGCAAATCGCATAAGAAAAAACTGAAACAGAATAAAATGCTTGAACAACTCACTAAATCCGAGAAGGAGTCCGAGGTTGTTGTTGATATTAGCAGCATTGACACTGAGGATGATATACTGATGTGCAAACCGTGTTCTGTGGCTTTCAGTGGACCGGAGAGTGCTTTCGCCCACTTGAAAAGCAAAGGACATAAGAAGAAACTGGAAGTTCTAAAGTGGAAGCGTTCGCATCGTCAGAAAAGAGAAGTCAGAAGCAAGTCTTTTACCTCATGCGAGGAACATCGTCAGGATCTTGCGAATACTGAATCTGTAAATAATGAAATGAATGAAATATCAGCTGCTGATGCTAACAACAAAGATTTAGATTCTAAGCCAAGTTTAAAAAGTGGTGTAAAACACTTGCCTTCAAGTTCTTCGCATGAACTTGGAAAAGACCCCAAAGATACAATAATAAGTGCCACAAACGATTCCCAGCAGAAACCGAACATAATCGAAGCGCTGTTGCAAAAAGAAGCTAAGCAGAACATAAAAGAGGCACAGGAAAAAGGAGCCAGAGGAAACATAGTTGAAGAGGAAAGTGATATTAAACAGAAAATAACTGAAGAGGCACATGGAAAGGAGAGTGAAAACAAAGTACCTGAAGAGGCTGTGGAAGAGGAAGTCAAAGAAGGCAAAATTGCTCCCCAAAAATACAAGGTATACAAACAATTTATGAGCTCATTTCGTCCTAATGCTAATAAATAATCACTGTAGTTTAGAGCCTACATTTGTGCATTAATTTTTCTGAATTCAAGTACGAATTGTAGAAGCTATCTAAAAATGGTATGCGTAACGTTATTGCAACAAAACGGTTTAAGACTGAGAATAATTTGAGACACTGAGCAATGATAATTATATGATTCACTTAATTGCTATTGCTTGATTATTAATTGTCAATTTGCTGTGAAGATTTCTAATTTCTTCTAAATTTGATGTCATTGATTTGAGTTTATTAAAGAAAAATAAATATTATTTGAATTCATATTTTGGGTAATCTAGTATTAATTCATAATTATGTTTAGAATAATCTGTATTTCATTTTTATATATAGTTTTCAAGAATAGCAGATTACTTTTCAAAAAATTTATAGTACATATTACTAATTCTTCACTTCCCAAAAGTTTAAGAAATTGAATCATTTAATTTTTCAAAAAACTTATTATGGTATTTAGAGCTTTGTAAATATATTTAAAAAAAATGTAGAATAAATAGAAGGTAATGATTCATTGAGAACCTTTTAATATGTTCTCAAATATTTACATAATCTGAGTGAAAGTTTTCAATAAATGCTAGTAATGTAATGAATTCATTATTAAACAACACTTTAAAAATTTACTAAAATCTTTTTCCTTTAAGTAGTGACGTTTTCTTTTTGTTAAGCAAAGCTTAACTGAAACCATTTTTATAATGATAAATATCTACTTTCAACAATTTAAATCAAGTCTCTCAGTTGCGGTTTAGGATTTGAAATTTTATTTTGGAATTACATTCATATATTGATGACCAGGTAGGATTATCAGTTATTGATAAACTTTGCAGATACCTGTTAAAAATTACTTTTGTTGTAGTTGATATTCTAACTTTGCTTTATTAATTAGCCATATCTATTCCTAAGTTTCTTCTTTCAAGGCGTCATCCGCGTAAATATAACGGGAATGTGCTTTTCGACACTGCAGTTTTCGATGAAAAATTACATATTGCATTCCATACGGCTTTACAAAGAGAATTCGAAATATTTTATTAGCATTTGGTGACGTTTATTACACAAGAATACTTTATTTCGGTTACATAAGCGTACATAGCATTTCCTAACCTCATCTAACATGATTTAGTACACCAAATGGAATTAACCAGTTCCGAGACTAAAGTACGCCCTATCAACGGTATATAAACTCCCAGACCTACTTTGACAAGGCGACTACTCCATTGTAAGCCAGGATAGAGTATTCACTATCGACTACTGTGATATTAAAATATACCACGAAGATCTGCTCAAGCCTCCCGTTGCTTGGTGGCGGGCCCGTTAGCCACTCCCTATACGGGCAAATGTGGAGGTAAGAATAATTTTATTTCCTACCTCCATGCGGGCAACGTCGCCGCTCCTTCACCATTCCGAGGTGGACCCACAGATGAGACATGATTTAGTACAGAACTCCAGCCTTCTGGACTATTTGGATTTGCAATTCGTTCAAACAATTGAAAAATGTAGATAATTGTATTTTTTTATGCATTATAAAAATAAACAGAAGTAAAATGTAGTCAAATTTCATTATCAGGTTACCTGCATAATATGTCACTCCGCTTATTAGGTTTGATTTTTTTAGTCCTGACCAATTCCTATTTCATGTCCATGAAACGTATATTGGTTATTAAATCATTTTTGAAATGTTGATAGGGGCTATCAGCTCAAATTCAAACTGTTCGTCTGAACAAAATTATCCGATCTTCAATAGAAAAATATGGTTTTTTTTTTTTTTTTTTTTTGGTCCATTTAAAAAAAAAACTGCAACTGTGTTCTTATTCCTTCTATTTAGAAATCCATCAAATTAATTTACATATCTGTCAATGAATAAAATAAAATAAATGAATAAATGATTTTTAAATAGGAGATTTTTTTTTAATCCAGATTTACGGGATTTCCAGGTTGTAATGAATCTCCTGTTGCAACCGCATCTCTGCCTCATGTAAGGAAAGGAAATAGTTTTAATATTTTACCAGCTCTTGTCCGATTTCTTGACAGGGGGTTAGCATATTGTCCGTTGAGAAAGTAAACATGGTGACAATAGAAATTCTAAGGGCTAGAGAGCAGAAATAACTGAGAAGGTGCCAATCACAAAAGACGTTCTGAAGAGTTTTGATGTCGTTAAAATAAGGGCTGACATTTTATTGTGATATCTCTATTAGAAGATCAGAACTTTTTCCCCCTCGATCAGAAACTTTTGTAAAATTTCAGATGTAAAATTATCAGTAGCTATTACAGAAATCAAACGTCGGTTTAAAAATATTTTTCTGTGCAATAGCATAATATTTTTTTATCTTGTGTTGTTCATTATATAAATGCTTTAGAGTTTTTCCAATATTTTGGAAACACCTAAAAATATGAAGACTTTTGTATTTAGTGATGTGGTGTAGAAATACAATTGGAAAACATCCAAAACTGTTTAAAATTATTTTAAAATGGAGACTCGCATGTTTTGAATGATAGTAATGTGGAATTTGTACCATTTTTTAAATAAGAAATTGTTCCAATTGAGAGACAGACGCTGAGAATGAAAAACTGGCATCTTACTCTGTTTTCCACACGGATTATAGTTCCAATGACATTTTAGTCTGGTGATTAGGCGCGTGCCAGTGAAAATGTGTTATTTCGTTTTCAGTTTCTTAAAGCTAAAAGTGAACAATTTGACTTAGAACGGTGAACGGGCCTATTTATCATCTTGAAAGATGCAGTTACGCATAATAAACAGTGTCTGCAGCACTGAACGGATAAAAATGGTAATTAGTCAATAATATGCATTTTTTTTTCATAAGGGGACACTTGGATCTCATAAGGTGGTACTTGGATAAAGGATTTCGTAAGGTTGATACTTGGATCTGTTGCAAATCTCTATATAACTACCACCGCGATTTACTGTAAGAAGCAGACAATTTAGATAGCAAGCTTCTGTTGGAGTTCTGAGTATATAAACTCTTAGTAAAGTGGGAAATAGTGCGAGAATGGATTCTCTGGAAACAACACTTAATTATATGGATCAGTATTCCACATTTTATGCCCTTGACACCATTATAATGTAGCCTCCTGATATACGTAATATGTGGCTTACGTACATTTGTAGTTATATAAGTGCTTAGAGGCCGTGTCATTTAAATTTCACTCTTTTGGAGGCATTCCAAAAATTCCAAACAAAGTGCTATATTGAATGAGCTGCCAATTCCAGACATAAAAAAATTACAACAAAGAGACCTAATAGACTTTTAACCTAATAGACAAGACGTCAGCAAAAATACTATCGATGAATATGAAAATCAGGCAGTTCGCGAATATTAGCAGCTGCCATTTCAGTGTGTCTGACAATAAGTCTGACTACGATAAAAAATTGCGTCTGACCACACAACCTACTCCCTACATGCGTGTGAGATAACGCTCACAACAACAAAACAAAAGGACAATTTAGACGACTCCAGTTATCCCAGCCTTCAAATGGAAAAGAACAGAAGTTGCTGGAGAACAGGATTTCTCTTCCCAATAATCCGTCTTCAAAGCCGACACTCTCACTTCAGTGCTAAATGAGCTGTCACAAAGTATTATTTTATTTGAAAAGTGTTATTTCAGATTATTTTTACATTCCTTCGATCTATTTTTCATAATTTTATATATTACATCCGAGTTAATACTGCTGCATGATGCTTCATTTAAAAAGTAATAATACTTAATAAAAATCAATACATACAACACACCAAAACATATATACATGCACACATCACATATATGTGGGAGTTACTGGCAAAATATGAAGCACCGGCATTCGACAGAATACCTAAGCATTTTACAGAATGCCTAGCATTTTTAGGTAAAGTAAGAACGATTAGAATTTTTACGTATTTTACCTAGGCATTAAGCATTCTGTAGAATGACAAACGCTGTTTAGATTGTAAGATTCAGTCCTGTGCTAATTTAGCACTTTAAAGTTACAGTTGAAGTTGAAGACTTTTAAGAACTGATTAGCGAATAATCACTTGAGTTCGTGAGACAGAGACAACACGTAAGAAGGGTGAAATTACGCTTTATTATTCCAGTAAGGTTTAACAGAATTCCGTTTTGAAATGTTATAATAAAGCCGCCACTCGGGCTTGGAAACTAAGAACTAAACTAATCTTAACTAAAAAGAAATAGTCGAAGCTATCAAGATTCTAACCGAATTGGCCCCTTAAAGATGAAAAACGGCGAAGCTATCAAGGGCCAAATGTACGGCCGAGCGTAATAATAGCTTAAGAGAAAGTAGCCTAAAAAGGCGGACGCGTACTAGCCAGAATCACTGGTTCTCTCTAGCGAAGACAGTAGAACTTCGAAGTTAAATACTACTCCTCAAATTTGCATTCAAACGTGATTCTAAAAATACATTCTGGCCGGAAGTTGTAGGTTGAAATTCAAGAAGACGGGAAAGGAACTTTAACTCAAAATTTAACTATTAAATAATTAACATAATTTTTACAAGTAGGAAAAAAAAAGGACATGATGAGGCGGTTATTTAAAAGACGTTCATTATTCGAAAATATAAACGTTATTTTGAAAAACATAATGAAAGAGGGCCATTAGAAATTGTTTATTCGAAATACATAAAGCGAAATGAAAGTTGTGCAAAACAAAATGTTTATATAAATAATAAGAAATTAAGATTAATTATTTGTTGCAACATGGTACGATTGAATGGCATTTCGAACTCACTTCATTACTTTTTTCACACAAAGCCACTTCATGCTCCGGCAGTTTATTTTACGCATACACTTGGCGAATCCTTGGGCACTTCCTCTGCACTGAGCAACTGCAACTGTCCAGAGATGAATTTCGTGGTCAAACATATCTTCAATTCTAAACAAGGTGTTAGAAGATAAAAGGAACTGTGATCTCCTATATAGTTAATTTAAAATTCTTTCAGAAGTTTCAAGTTGGTAGAAATTTTCCTCTGTCACGCTCATTACAATTACAACATTGCCAACAATGTTGCTGGATTATTATACACTTTTCTTAAGCATTTTGTATAAGATGGAGATGTATTTCACTCTTTGTCGGTTTGTCATCTGGCATTCTATAGAATGCCTATGTGTGAAATGTTTAATCGTTTCATACATTGCCGGTCAGTATTTAGCATTCTATAAAATGCCTATGTGTTCTAAAGAACGCTGGAATTCATACTTTGCCGTTAACGTATATATAGATATATATATAGATTGATATACACACATACAGATATAAAAATATGAAATCAAACTACTAACTTTAATCTGCAATAAGTGCTTTTTTCCTTATTTTAATTTGGGTATTTCCCCTCTTCAGAACATTGATGACGTAGTTAATCGGAACTTAATTTGCAGAACCGAAACCTTTCTCTTAAACTAAGTTTCCTTATTGGTTAACTACGTATTCTTCTCCCTTGCTTGTTTCATACTAGGATGGAGTCCCTTACTTCTCTCTCTACCACCCAACATATGCAAATTTTCCCGATAGTGCGAAAAATCGCGCTATCGGGAAACACTGGTCAAGATCTCCTCTTTAATAGCTAATTGCTTTTGTGGCTTAGTGCAAAAATTTTTATTGTTTCTTACGAGCGATCGCCCAAAGTTCATTTGGATACTAAGTTTCTGTTTTTGTGCTTTGAGTCTTCGATTGTGTCAGCGTTCCTGTGTTCAGGTCTTGTGCTCTGTGTGAGAATTTTACCAAGTGCTGAAAAATGTGGTTTAAATACAATGTAATTCAATTTTTTGGATTACGTCGATCATCGTCGAAGCACTCCACATTGCCAAGGTAGATAATTTTTGTATTATATTTTAGAGAGTGTAATGACAATCTATGCCTGTCATTTCTGATATATATCTTGTTAACTTCATTATTATAACTTTGTTTAAATTCTATTCTGCATCGCATCGCCATCTTAGAAAATGTAAACCCATCACAGCCATACTGTTTAAACCAACAACAGCTCGGACCTCTAACAAAATCAGTCACGTACTCAGACTAACTTGCCTTGTATATTCTTTCATTTGTATTTCTGCCTTAATTGTTGCAATTTGCATAGATTTTAGCGTATGGCGACAATTTTATCCCATTAGTTTGTCGCTTCTTGTTCTCAGTGCTTACAATTTGGACACCAAGAAGTATTCTTGAAATTTGCTTGGAGTAATCTGCAATGTAATTGTTAGAAAATAATTTGGTGCCCAGTTATTTGTAGAGCATACTGTAGGCAATTTGCAAGCTATGAAATTAATTTGTTTTAAGTTATGTAAGCAACTGCATCTCAGAAAACACTGTAAAGCATTCTTGTAATTTGCAGTTTGCGTTGTATAGCGATATACGTATATATAAATACAACAAATGTAAGCTTATGTCACATGAAACACATGAAATCAAATAATGTATGTGTACAACAAATGTAAGCATGTGTCACATGAAACACATGAAATCAAATAAGTATGTGTACAACAAATGTAAGCATGTGTCACATGAAACACATGAAATCAGATAATGTATGTGTACAACAAATGTAAGCATGTGTCACATGAAACACATGAAATCAAATAATGTATGTGTACAACAAATGTAAGCATGTGTCACATGAAACACATGAAATCAAGTAATGTATGTACACAACAAATACATACATTACTTGATATTGAACAGTATTAAAACTGTTGTCCTATTATATTTGTTCTTTTTGCAATTTTTGACTTAATTTTTCTTTTTTAAAAATCTTTTTAAACATTAAAAAGTTTCCCATAAAGTATCAGTACTACATATACGCCAGTGATGGCGAACGTATGGCACGCGTTCCACAGTTGGCACGCAGAGCCTCATCGGCCGGCACGCGACTAAAATATTACTTCCTTAATCAATAATCACAATAAAATGTTACTATGTAATTTAAATAAATGTTTTAGTCTGTGCTCGAACGTTTCACTTACTTGCTTACTTTCACTTGCTTACTTATCATTACTTGCTTACATGAAATTAAGTAAATGGTTCTATATAACTTCTGTATGTTGCAATAAAGGCCCTTTGGCCTAGGTTTGACGGTTTTCTTCGCTGACATGGCAGGTTTCTGTTGGGTCCCCACCGTGGTCAGAAGCCGCCGCTGTGGCGTACTCTTTCCGGAAGCCGCATATTGCTCTTAAGTGATACCATTTAAAACACTGAAGCACGTTTTGAAACGTTAATACATATCCCAACAACCTCCTTGACAGTGCTGCTTACAAGTACTTCATGAGACTAAAAATACGATGCCTTTTGCACCAAGCAATGTATAGAATGCCTCTCAGTTCAACCAGATCTGAGATACAAGTACGGATGGATCATTTCTTGATCAAAGAACATGTAGTACTTGCATGTAACCATTGTTTATCACTTTTAAAATTGTTGCCACCAAATATTATTGCCCTGTATCATATTTAAAGAAATTAAATAATGTGGAATCTACATGAATTTATGCATATTTCTCGCACTGTGAAAAAATAACGGTATCTAGAACCATCTAATTTTGAATAACGTAGTCCTTCACCCAACACTTGGTAACCCGAATTTTGAATTTCGAATTTTTTTTATTATCTCTTTCTTATTTTGTAAATTTTAATGAATTTTTGATTAGCAAACTCAACGATTTCAAAGTGATCAGTGATAACACTGTACGGAAAGAAACATTTTCCTCTCCAGTGCACGAGACTGTCTATCGTAAATTCTAAAGATATGCTGTTATATAAAGATATATCGTAAATTCTAAAGATATCTTCATTATGTTAGAATGAAATAAAATATGATGAAAAATTTTTTGCAATCAAAACTAGGAACTGTCCAGCAAATGCAAAATAAAAGTGCTCTGTTTAGATATTATTAAATTATGAATACTAATAAATAAAACAGTTTCAGGAAAAGAAGTTAAATAATAATATTTTGATTTATTTCATTTTTTCCACTCTAATTATATTCATTTAACAAAATATATTTACATGAAATAATTAATCTTAAACACATAGCAGTTATAAAAATACATCTTTATAAAAATATCAGGTTTTTCAATTTCAGTAATTTGAAGTTCGCACAGAAAATGTTTAGTAATTAACTACAGCAAATTACAATAGAATAATTCAACATTTTTGACTAGTTTTTTTATCGTTGCTTAACAACATTCAAACGCTGAACTTCGTCATTCTTTTGTTCTTCTTCAGTGCAATGGCTCCATTCTAAATGCATTCATTTTGGTATTGCACAGTTTCTGTAGCAGCATGTGTTAGTGCTCAACAAGCTAGAAAGGAAAAAAAAGGAAACTAATTATTCTTATATCATGTATTTCTTTTGTTTTTACTTAAATTACACTTAAAAAAACTTCAGAATTTCAGCTGAAATCTTGTATAAGGTGGAACAGTAATAAAACTGTTGTCCTATTATATTTGTTCGTTTTGCAATTTTTGACTTAATTTTTCTTTTTTGAAAATATTTTTAAACATTAAAAAGTTTCTCATAAAGTATCAATTCTAGATATACGCCAGTGATGGCGAACGTATGGCACGCGTTCCATAGTCGGCACGCAGAGCCTCATCAGCCGGCACGCGACTAAAATATCACTTCCCTAATCAATAATCACAATAAAATGATACTATGTAATTTAAATAAGCGTTTTAGTCTGTGCTTGAACGTTTTACTTACTTACTTATCATTAGTTGCTTACTTTTCACTTACTAACTTGCGGCACTTTGACGCCTACCACAAGATTGTTGCCGAAAACTTGATGAAGCTGAACGAAAGGTGTTTATTGAAGGGAAATTGAAGAATTATAATGACCAGAAAGTTGGTTTTTGCAATTATCTTTCTAAAACAAACCGTCTAACAACGGCCAGCGTTCAAATTTCACTGTTCCGGGCAAAACATGGTAAAGTGCTCTCCGATGGGGATTTAAAGGTTTGGGCACGACGGCCACCCAAAAAAAAAGTTCTGGGCACCCGACCCAAAAGGGTTCACCACCACTGATATACGCTATCCATTATAGTACAGGATATTTTGTTTGTCTAGTGGCCAGAAAAACTGCATTGAAGTATCGTTTTGTGCTAGGGGAGAGGGTGAGAGACCCCTGGAACTCCCCAGGTTGCTCTTCCTCAAAATCCATGTGGTAGTAGAAGTCCAACCTTCTTGAGAATATGGGGACCAATCATCCATGAAATATGGACTCGACAACAACGGTTAACCATACAGTACTTTGAATAAGTATTGATGGAATAATTAATAATGTGTATAATTTTCACTATACAGAATGTTTTCATCATACAAAGATTTTATTATACACAGTTTTCAGAGTAACAGTGCCTAATTTGCTTTAACTTACTAGGAACTCTTTGTTGGGGCAACATGACACGGCTATTAAGAGCTTTGGAATAGTTTGTAGTTCTTCCATTTAGCATATGTCCATTCACTTGCGATTTCACCCTTGCTCCGTTTCTGTGAGGATGGTTTCTGGAAAAGGAAGGTTCTCTCATCTCACCGGAACTTTTCCTTTTTTGATTTCTCAGTACTGGTCTTTGGGGGCGCACTTCCTTGCCATCGCTTCCGCTGTCATCGCTGTCGTAATCACGTAATCTTGTCCTTTTCTCGAATTCTCGTGTTTTCTTTCGAACGTTCTCTTTCAATTCTTTCTCAAAATTGAGCGTCGAGAAAAAATTCGTTTTAGTATCTGTACCACAATTTGCTTTCTGAATGGCATCGTATTCGGCAGGATCTTCTTTGCGCCTCTCTAGAGCATAATAAGAATGAGATTCGAAAGTTCGACCGCTGTTGGTTCGGCACAGCCTCGTGTGAAGTTCATATTCTTCCACAGATTCGCTAATGAATCGATGGTCATTCGAGTTCGATGTGGTACCTACGCAGTTGCTTGTAGTTCTGGTATCTTGAGCACCTTTTGAACTCCCCTAAAACGAGATAATGGAATTTTATTATCATGCAGTATAACATAAGAAAATGACAGACATGTAGTTAACGAAAGGCCAGTAATATAACAAAAGCAGGAAAGAAGAAAACAAAATTTAAAATAAAACTAATGTTATGCAGTCCTTAACTACATATCGGTTTAAAAAATATTTCATCATCTTATTTTATAAAAGACGCATGCGGCCACACCATTATGATATCAAGGTAAATGCAACCAATCAGTATAAACCAGTCAAAACAAATACAGTTTCGTGTATAGTTGAAACACTCATCTAATCATCGTTAAATAGTACTTGACGGAAACGTTTTGCCTTTTTAGCATTCAACAATAACACTAACACTAACACGTCTATAATCCTAGACGAGCTGAGCTTAGTAACCAAGCTGTATAGTCTGCTTACTAGTTCCTTGTATTAGCTGATTCTCATAAAGGACCTGAGTTAAATTACGTTCAAAGCTTAGTTCTTTGCAGTTTTACTACTGACAGAGTTTAAATGCAGTTCACCACAGACAGAGTCCATCGCAGACACAGATTGCGTGTTTTATCAGAATTTAAATGCAGTCAATTGTTTTGTTAATTATTTTGTATACGGAAAAAAAAATAATGATATTTTGACTGGGATTTATGGCTTAGTCTCTCTAAAGGCCGTATAATTACTTCCTTTATAAATGTAACTAGTGTGCTTAAACGGATGAAAGTATTGAAAACGTATAATTTCTTCTTAATGAGAGTAATTCAACTTTTAGAGGGTTGAGAGTTTGTTGATATAAGTTAAACAAACTAGTTGCATATCACTTAAAAAAAGAAAGAAACTTGAAGTACCTAAAATTAGTGCTGTGGAATCTTCCTCCAAAAAACAAAAAATGCCGCCCATGGGGTATAGTGGTTAGGGGACGTACTGCGATATCGAAGGGCCTGGGTTTGAGTCCTGAAGAAAGCATGGATGTTTGTAATTGTACAGTGTCTGTGCGGCATGGGGGCATTCTAAATATATGGCCAGCCGAATGTTCTCTCGAGAGGCTGATAGTAAGGGAAGAAGGATGTAAGACCCTCGGGCCCATCCCCCGGAGTACTGTGCTTTCCTTTAAAATGGGGGGGGCGGAAATTAGCGAAGTCGTACTGTCACCTGTATGATGCTCAAAGGGCTTGCCAACGATAGGCGTAATCTTGCTCAACACATGAATTTCGTAGGCTTGTTTCGATGCTACTGTCAAACAAATGTGATAAGTCACAATAACAACGAAACAAAAAGTGTCTAATACTGTGCTTTAGAAAACATTTCCGTATGAAACTAAATGAAGAAGATAGAATATATAATCAAATATATTATCATTATTATTTAGAAACAGTCGTTGCAAATTGTAGATGAACATTTATCAAAAATCAAATAATAAAAATTATAAAAGTCATTCGAAATTATAAATGAAATATGCATTTGCAAAATTTAAATACAAAATTTCATTTTCAGGTATGATAAACTCTTTTGACTATTCCTTTTAATTGTTATAACTGAAATAAAATTAATTTCAGTGGAACTGATCTTTTTCTTTTTAGGGGAAGAAATAGCCTTTTAGTAATTTATAATGTCAAAATGGGTTTCTGTTTTGGTATTTCATTCGATAATTACCAAGTTTAGCAACTTCACTGTGATATTAACATCTATTTTAAAACGAAAACTCTCATTGTTACATTAAAATAACTTTAGAGCTTTCCACATATTAGCGGTCTAGAAAAAATCTTCATTTGAATCAGTAAATGAAAATATATATAAAGCATCTTAAAGAAACGGTAATAAAAGTAAAAAAAAAAAAATTAAATTGGTTGATAAATTATAAAATGTTTTTCTAAAAACAAAAGCTGCAACTGATAAATTTTGATCAATCTGCCACAAACAGGTAAAATCACAAAAAAATTGCTATCTAAATAAAAGAAGAAAAAAAAGTGTCATAACAGTTTACCTTGTTGCAATAAATAAGATTGTATAACATCAATAATATAATTAAGAAATTTGCTATTGGTGTTATTTTCTTTCTCATTTAGAATGTACTGTTCGTTTTAATTTCAACAGTTTGTTTACATGTACTGTTACTTAAGCACTCTTCTATTTTGACATATTTCGGACAATAATGAAGGTAATATAATGTTGCCGACTTAGATGGCTTTCCGAATTGAAACTCAAACAGACAATAATAGATTAATAGACTAAGATTTCGTTTTCAGATACACCAAGCGACTATGTGAATGCTTTATATGTGTTTGTATATATTAATATGGTGTTAAACAGGATGTCCTTTGTACAAATTCCAGGTGCGCCCCAAGTAATATTGAATAGTAAAATGTCTCTCTTAACATCGTTATCTTCCTCTGTATGCTTTAACCACATGCTATGACTGTTATGGAAAGCTGTTAAGAGTTCCAAGCTTCGACTGCGAATTTAAGAGCATTACACACACACACACACACACATATATATATTAATATATGGTACTATTCGGTTTTGAGGGCCGTAAAAAATCGCCAAACTATTGTTACTGCCAAATATAATTGCGGCAACCCTAACGCAAGAAAGGAAGTATAATAGTAAATAACTATCTAAGATTGATGTTTTGATTTAGCTGAAAGGTTAATTTCATATAATATTTTTTATTATTATAATTTATATAAAAAAGGCTAAACATGACTGAATGGAAGCATAAGAGTAAATAACTATTTCAGATCATTATTATAATTTATATAAAAATTGCTAAACATAATTGGATGGATGTCTGCATCGCTATTTCGCTTATATTTCGCTAAAGCATAATTTCGTCTCTTTGGTTGTTCAAACATAATTTTCTATAATGAATGATGCCTTTTCTTTGGAAAAATTCTCGGTAAAGTGCAGAATCGCCCAGTTATTTGCTTGCCACTTTTTACAAGGGTAAAAACAATTGGATTTTTGTCAATTTTCTTTTACTTTTTAAGTGAAAATAGGTCGATGTGTACATAAATAAAGGGTGTGCGCAGTGCCATTTTTGTGCAATTTTGGGATTTTGTTTTGAAGTGAAAATAGGTCGATGTGTACATGGATATCGAGTATGTACATGGATACCGAGTATGTGCAATTCTTAAAAACGCGTCAAGCAGTGGGTGATTTTGCATTTTACCCGAAATTCTATTACAGATTTTCCGTCATGGGCAATTCTCAAATTGGGCAATTCTCAAATCCATATGATATCAAAAAAGGATTTAAAAATTAAACCAGTATTTCAATGACGTCTTGAGAAATGTAGAACTATATAAACTTACGCAATCTGAAATCAGCGAATACGCTAGATTTGGCGCGCCAATAATATTGAAAAGCAAAATGTCTCTTTTACAGCATTTCAAAATGTTTGTTCTAATTTAGACCATACTCGTTCCAAATTGGAAGTGCTGCCATCTAGTTATGTTTTTTGTAAATATACTTGCATAGAGACCACTGAAAAAGGAAAAGGTGTGCGTGTGCGTAAGACATGTAAGTAAAAATTCTAACTTTAATTTGTAATAGTTTCTAAGCTCTTCCTTTCAGTTTGGGATAAAAATAGTAATTAATTAACCTAGCTAAAGCCAGCATTTGATTGTTATACTATAATGCTGCCGACGTAGACAGTTTTCCGAACTGAAACTCAGACAATAATAGATTAATAGACTTGAGATTTCGTTTTGAAATCAAGCGCACTTGTTTTCGGCTTCTTGGACTAGTTAGCCTTCTGCTTCATCTCTCTTCAAAACTATATATTTTAAATTATAATCAGTAACGATGTAATAAATTCTGTAACATACGCACTTTTATTTGCGTTTGCTTAATGTCATATTTGTCAACTATAATAAAAAGTAATGTTATTAATTCGGCCATTTACTTATTTGTGCTCCAACGTTTATTTTCAACAATATTCAAAATTTTACATATACATTAAAGGTTCTTGAAGTTGAGGCCGACCAGCGGCCAAGCGATTAAGTCGCTGAACACTGGTAGTTCGGTCTGGGGTTCGAATCCCGCCGAACGGGAAGCAGCATAGATGTTTTCGTGGTTTTCTCCATGTACAACATGCATATGAGCAAATATCGCTTAGAAAGTCTTCCACGAAGGCATCCTTTCCCTTAGGCAGATAGCCCTCGAGTGCTCCGTTATTAAATAAACCAAACCAAGTCGATCGTGACGAATAATCATCGAAGCGGAAATTTTGCTGCATAAATTTTACCTGTTGTCTTGTAGACTTCTGAGGGTCAGCTATCTTCTCCGGGGAACCGGAATTATTCGGGAATCTGTAACTGAGGAAAGGCGATTTTTTCTCGTTGTCACTCCTCACCATGCTCGACGTTTGGCTGTTGAAATTGTTGCAAATGCCGCATGGAGCTTCAGAGCCATGGACGCATATATACCTGGATAATTTTAAATATTTGTCTTAAGTATCATTGAAATAATTAACTAGAAGTAATGCTTAATTAAAGTTTAAGGAACACTCAAGAATCAAACTTTATTTCTTGTGCATTATACATTGTGTCCCGGCAAGACAGCATGAACTCTACAAGGCAAGATTCTTCATTTTAAATACATAAAAATTTAAATTTAAAAATTTAAATTTATATATTTCAAAAATACGAAAGAAAAACCACTTCTCCAATACTTTTAGGATGAAATGGGAACGGAAGATATTATTCAAAGATTATATAAAGAGAATACTCAATAAATTAAAGAAATATCCAATTTCAAAAGTTAAATTATTATTATTTTTAATCTGTATTAAAATTAAGATTTGTCGCTTAACTGAGCAGCAGAGATTTATGTGGTTGGCTAATTCGGGACGGAGAGATATAAATTATTAATAATATTGCAGGACTCCAGTTACACGAATCGTCAATAAATCGGATCGCTTATTTCTCTTTTCATCCAGGTAAGATTAAGTTTGTCGATTTCTTATCCAGCTTTTTATTAGTTTGCTTATTAGAATAAAACTGCTGTAAATTTATGTAAATATTATATATATTAATAATTGTTTCTAAATATTTTGGGTTATTATGAATTTGTGTTTATTTTAGTACATTTTACATGATAATTATACATTTATTTTCATTTGTTTATTTGGTGTATAATTATTTTATGCTTATTACTTCGAAGAGCAATAGCCCAGAAGGGCTATTAATTTCGTTTTGGCATTTTGTAGCGTTTCAGTATAAACGGCGAGTCACTTTTCAAATTGTTGCCACCAAATATATATATATATATATTGGTGGCAATTGAACAGATTTTTATTTTCAAATTGATGCAATTTTCAAATTGTTGCCACCAAATATATATATATATATATCTATATTATTATTATTTATATTAAAGATTTTAAATAGTGAAGAAGCTGCATGAATGTGTGTATATTTCTCGCACTGTGATAAAACAGCGTTACCTAGAAACATTAAAAGCTGAATAACGTAGGTGCCTCCACCCAAATATAGGCATCTGGAAGCCCAAATTTAGAATCTGTTTTATTATCTATTTCATATTTTGTAAAGCATTTATGAGTTTTTGATTAAGAAACTCAATGATTTCAAAGCGAGCCATGGCAACACTGTACGGGGGAAAAAAAAAACATTTTTATCTCCAGCGCTCGAGCCCGTGTATCGGGCTCATTTTAAATTATTTGGCGATATTGATGTTGAATTGAATTTTATTGTTCAAGTGCGAAAAACATAATATTTAATAAATAAAAGTATCATACAAACCGTTATAAAAAGCTCCTCTGGGCGTAATATAAAATCTGAAAACTTCCAGATTTTTTTAATTGAATTTATTTATAAAAGTATCATACAAAACGTTATAAAAAGCTCCTTTGGGCATAATATAAAATCTGAAAACTTCCAGATTTTTTTTAATTTAATTTTGAATTTGTGGGTAAAAGTTGTGTGTTTGTTCCCTGTTGTAGATCTTTTAATTCTGAATCAATAAATGTTTCAGTTGTAAAGATACCTCAATAAAACGAGAGATATCGTCAGAAATTCTACTAACATGTCCATGGACGTATTTGGAAAAGTCTTGCCCTTTTCTATATTCTGTAAGTTTCAGAAGTTCATGTTTTTGAAGACCTAGAAAATATTTTTTACGAAGTTTTCAGAAGAATTTAACTTTACCCTTTGGCAACCATCGGAATAGGTTGTGAATAGCAGTCAGTCAGTTCATTCTTTTCAAAACCGTGTGACTATTCTGAGCTTCTCGCTGAATAATTACCGCTTTTATTTTTTTTTTATCTGCAGCATTACTCACATGTTGAAGAGAGTTTCGCCTAATGTCACGTTCAAGAGGGGGGGAAGAGCTGTTTATCTTACTTGTAAGTTTTTATTTATCTCAAAAAAGGCTCAAGTTTTTCCTGCTCGTCTCGCCTAATTATTTATACAGATCCCTATAAAGCCATAGCACATATCACTATGAAAGGTAAATAATACTATACTGACTTTTAAGAAACTATTACATTGTTAATATTATTATTTTATTGATTTACGTGAGCGAAAAAATTGCTGCTTCAATTTTAATTGAATAGGAGTAAGTCACGCGTTTCATTTTAAGGAAATAAAACGCAATTTCTTGGTTTAGTTTTAGCAAAATAAATATTTAAACAGGATTATCTGTTTAGCTCCCAGGCCTACTAAATAAAAATCAGGTCTTCTGTTTTATTTCAATAGGAGTTGTGACTTGTGCTTAGGAAAATATTGAAGTAGTTTCACATAATCACATAATTTTGTCGAAAGATTATTTTGGTTTATGAGAATAAAAGTATTTTTAAAAATAAAAGTTTTTTTTTTTTTTTTTTGCTGTAATAAAAACAATAAACCAAATAAATAAAAAAATAAAAACTCTCTCTAATTTATGTTGTACTAACATATTTAGACAACAGAAAAAAGTAAACGAATTGTTTAGATTTTTTAAATCTTTCAGATAGGTGCAATTCAAGACGGATATTTAAACCGAGCCGTCAGAATTAGTTTCTACTATCTGAAGGACTAGGTCAGCTTCTGACGAAATGGATTCCTGGATCCCTGGCCACGCTGGCATACAAGGGAATACAACTAGCGGACATTATAGCTAAAACTGCTACTACAATGTCTAATTTCCCGATCCCACTCACAGATATCAGGGTGATGACCAAACGTAAATTTTTTAATAAATGGCAGAGTGACTAGGATAACCAAACCAACAACAAGCTGAGAAGTGTTAAACCCGCAACTGAATGTTGGCCGTTCTATAACAAATATAAGTTTTTTTTAACCCGGTTGAGAATTGGTCATTGTCGCCGAAAGGAAAGAAGCCGAATATCTGCCGAAAGGAAAGAAGAATCGCCGTTGCGCAAGGTGCAATGCAGATCTGATAGTCCGTCATATTTTATTGGAATGTCCCACTTTATTATTTTCGCCAAAAACATTTTAATTGTTTAAAATTGGATTTAAAAACTTAAGAGGAAAAAAGCATTATCATATATTGTCTCAGTTTTTAAATGATATTGAATGTTACTATAAAGTGTAAACTGTTTTTATTGTTTTTCCTAACTTAAAATACACAGTAATTGCCTATACGAAATTTCTTTCAACATACTTTATAACCATCGTTTTTTAATCTTTGCTTGGAGGAGAAAACCTTGAAAGGTTTTTGTGCCAGAAATCACAATCAATCAATCAATCAACCTGACGAAATGGATAAAGATTTGTTTTCTTAAACCATCGTGTGTTCAAAATTTAATTTCCTATTTAAAAGAAAAATTGACTTATTTCTACAAAAATGATACTTAAATTCTTTAAACAAGCGTTAATCCTTCTCAAACTGACTAATTAACTCAAAGGACAATGTATACACTACATAAACACAGTGTATATGGTGCAAATGTATTATTACAACTAGATATTATTTGTATAATATATTTTTATATAGTTTTATATAATAGAGGTTATATAATTGCATCATATAAACTGTATTATATTACACTATATAAAAATATACAGTAAGCTTGTATATGATACTTTATGCATACTCTATATAAAATCTATACCATCCAAGAAATATACAATAATGTACAGTAATAAACGGTATATAAACAGTTAAGCAAAATAAACTACTTTTGTACGTTTCTGTCTTGCTTTCCATATTTTAACATACTGATATTAGTATTGAAAAATAATCTAAAATATACTTTTCAATAATTAAACGTTGTCTGGAAGGAATACCATTCGTGTTTCTCCAATTTGACATTTGAATGTATCTTAATGATGCACTCCATAGTTTGATATTGTAAAATATATGTGAAAAATTTTTTAATTTGGAAAAATGTAATAATAAGCAATTTAAAGTGCAATATATCCTTACGAAACACGGATTTACGGAAGGCGATTTTGAGTATACGCGGTGTTTCCATTTAATTTGTTGTACGCTCTTTATATTCTGGTTTGAAAATTTATTTACTAAGGAAGTCAGACATTACTTAGAACAGCATATTGCGGCTACTACTCAGCTAAAATTACAAGCCACCTTCTTAGCCACCAGTATGTATGAATGAATTTTGTATTTGTAGATGTACAGGATTCGAAACCCCATTATGGAAGTCCAGTTGATAGTTGAAAGCCTGATTTTGATGTTTACTGTTTTTAATATTTGAATCGCTGAAACTCTATGAGAGCAGTTCTTAGCAATTTTACTTCTTTTCTGTCTTACTATAGTTTTAGGCTTCTATTAAGTGCGCAAGCGCAAATTCTTTAGAAAAAATAGAAGTTTAAAAAAATGGAAGTGGACAGCTAATTAATCTGTAAGGTAAATTTTAATTTATAACAATTATTTTATTTCTGAAACCCTTTCCTATCAATTCTTGTTTCCACTTATAAATCCCTACTATAGAATCGCGTTGAATGCAAATGAGTTAGAAGAGGTATTTAAGGTGTGGTGGGATGTTGTGTGGTGTATTTAATTATGGCGGAGCACACTAGGGCTATCTGCCTAGAGGTATTTAAGGAAGATTCAGCTTACTTCGATAGAGAGTGCTAGGAGTCCTTAGTGGGGCGTGTTTACCTTCTGGCTAAGCAACTCTTGAAGAAGTTGTTACGCTCGGCCGTATTATACGTGCCTATTGATATTCGCCGGGTAGTTTAATTTAAGGGTCAACTACGTTAGGTAATTGTGTCTAGCTTCAGCTAACTCTCGTTTAGTTAATTATAGTTTCGTTTCTTTTCTTATTCTGAGTTAAAGCCCGAGTAGAGGCTTGCCTGTAAGCCCGAGAAAGGGCCAACTGTTATTATTATTATTTTTTTTTTTTTGAGTGAATATGTGGGTATTTTAACTCTTCTCGAGTGTACGTCTTAGTTGTTTGAACTCAGTGATAAGTCGCTACGTAGTTCACTAGGTTCTTCGACGCTTCATTTTAGACAAAATTTAGGAACCTTACAAGATTTAACCGTATAATATTATCTGAGAACATTTTCAATTATAGGTTGCTCCAAAGGTAACTGAAAAATAATTTTTCTTATTACTTGAGTAACTATTTCATTCAAACGTTAACTTACTCTTTATTAGTTTGATAACTCGAGCAACGAGTTGGTAATTCCGTAATTTTATCTTTCGCCTGATCTTTCTGTTTAGAATCATCACTAGAAGACCTTCCGCCTTCTGGTTCAGGTCTTGCAGGACACTGGTAATCTCTATTCTGACGCTTCAGCCATTTCTTCATACCTGTTGGTTGCTTCCAGTTATACTCCATATCCACAATTTCTTGGTTGCTTTTGTGAGTCGTATCTCCAGAACACATGACATAATCTTGATGGTCAGTCTGTAGACTTTTTGACGTATCTTGTTGAATATTTGGCGTATAATCTGAGTCTCGCTTGGTAGAATCTTTTCTACAAGCCGCATTGCTATCCGTTGATTTCTCTTGAAGATTTAAAATTCGCAGCTGATGACGTATATTAACCTTTTCTTTATCCCTCTGTTTTCGAAATTCTTCTTCGACTTTATTCATCCATTCGATTTCTTGCTGCCGCTTTCTTTCCCTTGCTTCAACTTCTCTTGCTAGTTTTTCTTCTAATTTCTTTTTTTCTTCTTGTCTTACAGTACTTTGGTAAGTAAACTTCTTTCTATTGCTAGGTTTTTTCAATATCAATTCACTGTCTGTATTAACATGAATATCATCTGCTACAGATCTGTGTTGAACTGGTATGGCACTAGAACTGTACTCCGGCAAGTACATGACATGGCCTTCAGAAGACTGACAAGGAAAAGATTTTCTCCACTCGGGATTACGAGAGCTGTAAGCATTAATCGGTTTGCTTCCTGTACTATCTTGCTGAACAGCTTTCGATTCAGAATTGCTCCTTCTTATATGGTCCAAAACATACAGCTCTGGAGCTTCTGCATCGTGTTTTACTGCATTTTCAATATTTAAATTATTGATGAAATTTGGAAGACTTCGGCTTAGTGACCAGTTTGAATCTAAACCTTTACTTTCGTCAGTAATACATTTTGTTCTTAAGCCTAAAGCTTTCTTCAAATTTCGTAAACTGTTGAAGTGTTGCCCATCTGCATTCTTGTAACCACCTTTTTTCCTTCTTCCTCTACTTCTCGTTCTTTCTTTTTCAGAAACAACAATTTCGTCAGAGTCTTTCTTCTGTTCAGTTCTTGGGAGAGATCTGGACGGAAACATTAGATTCGGCATTGCAAACTTAGCTTGTACTTTTGTTGGACTGTTTGGACTATTGATTTCAGCTGGCGATTCATCACTACCGCAGTCGCTATCGTCGACTAAATCATGCTGTGGTATCCATGTACCTCCGCATTCTTCATTTGGTAATTGGGTGTCGGGAGTATTACACAGTGCATCATTATTCATCAAATCGAAATTGTCATTTAGTAACATGGGACTTCCAGCGTCGGGTGAGATTCCTGAATCACCGCTGCGATCATGATTTAGACGTCGAGGTGCAGCTGGTCGGTTGATTCGATGAATTTTCTCTTCCATTATATCTTCTCCGTCGTCGCTACTTACATCAGAACGCTGCTGATGAGATTTAAAAAAGTCTAAATTGATCGATTTCCACACATCTGTAGGAGAAAATCGGGGAAGCTCAACCGGCCTCCGAGGCAAAGTGGGACGCAGCTGAAGATCGATCTCCATCTCTTCCTCAGAAGTAGAAGAGCTTTGCAGGGTCGTTTCTGGAAAAAATCGAGGTACTGATTCTGGGATAATTGAATCCCATTTGGCTTGCCTTTCACTAGAGTTTGGCATTTCAAGAGGATCACGATAAGTTCTCTTCTGTTGCTTCTGTATAGATGGCTTGTCCTCGTCCTTTTCTGTGTAATCAACAACGCAGTCCTTTCTAATATCCGATGCTTTTTTGTGAATGGGTAATTTTCGGGCACAGTGATCAACATTAGACCTTTCCAGGTTTTTTCTTTCTGCATTGTTTTCTTCTTTACTGTACATAGAATTTCCTGGTTTATTTGAATCAGTTTGCTTTAATAAGAATGGGTTTTTGTGAGCAAACTGTGTTGAATTTACAGTGACTTTACCACCAGTTTCGACATACTTTTCGTGCATATCACTGCTTTTCTCCATTGATGATTTGAAAGATTCGTTTCTATACTGTCGTGTTCTCTGTAGCCTTTCTGCTCTTCGTTTTGCGGCATCAGCGATGGCCTCCTTTAGAACGCTATCTGATGTCGTGTGATTGTTGCATCCATTAGGATGAGTAACATTGTCAGCAGCATAGGAATTTCGTAGACTAACACTGCGATCGGAGATTTCACTTCGCTTACTTTCTTCCCTTCCTTTTATTCTTTGTTCTTCAGTTCGGTCTAGTGATTTGCTTCTTTGCCTTGGGACATTGTCTGTCATGTATTCTTGATTAGGTTTACTAAATTTCCATTTGTCTACCATTCTTCTATTTTTCTCGTAACTTTTGTTTGGAGTTTTTGATACTCCTCTACTGTCAATAGCCTGGTTGTAATCAGGCGGCGGAGGCGGTGGTGGTGGCGGCATTTCATCAGGTGGAATTGGTGGAAGTGGCCTTCTTGGAGCATCATTATAATCATACGCAGATGTTTGGGAGTTCATCATATTATGTCTTTCGTTATTGTAGACAGGAGCTTTACCTAATGTTCTGGGTAATGTATTCGATTGAGGAGGTTCTGGAGCACGTGATTTTTTTCTAGATTTGATTTTGGCTTTGCTAGGACTCATGGCGATAATGCTTCGCAAGTTGGAGTTGTTTTCTGTGTCTCCTCTTCCATCAGTGTCATATTCGTCATCATAGGAATCATTATCATTCTCGTTCTCGCGAATCATCATTCTGACAATATCCGGATCACTGTGAGACTTCCTATGACCATAGAGTGTTTGAAAAGACACATTTTGCGCCGGCGTCTGCAAGGCGTGGCACTTCTTCTGAAGCAGCTGAACGAACTCTGGTTCTTTGTCAGGTACGGACACGACGTTGTTCTTCCGTCCACTGATAGTGCCACCGCTATGTAAAATGCTGCCATTGTCAGTGCTCCGAAGGCGCTGAGGGACATTGGACACAACGGGAAGCACACGGTTTTCTGGACTTGCAAATTTAGCAACACTGAACTTCTTTCCGCGACCTTCTTTGGGGTAATTTGTATGCAGGCGGGATGAAGATTGCGAGTGAGAATTACCCATCGATTTTTCTTATTGTCCTATGGAAGAGAAAGAGAAGAAAACATTTACCAAATAATAATAGAATACAGAAGATTATGTATAATAGTAATTATAGAATACAAAAGATTATGGATAATAGTAATTATAGAAAACAGAAGATTATGTATAATAAATAATGAGGATGATTTAGATAAGCATGCTGAAATGTTTCAGAGCGGGGACAGGTTCCTGAAAGGCAAATCAGAATCATATAGAAACGAAAGATCGGAAACGTCATCTCCATGTTGTAGTTGACTCCATGCTGTAATTGTTCGGTAGCGAGACTATTCCAGATTTCTTTAAATATATCGTCATTTGTAAACCGCTTGTAAAGGTTTTCCCCAACGGCCCCAAGGATCCCGCCCAACAACCACAAAGTTTGCTAGTTAAGCACTGCACGCAAAGGTAAAATAAAATGGCGGTGTTCCCGAATTCTGAGATGGAAGGATACGCATCGCGTGTACTGACCAGGGACTTGTGACGGAGAAGCCACTATGCGATTGTATTGCAAACAGATAGCGATGGGTGCCAAAAACCTAAGTTTTTATACTGCTGTATCCCAAGTTATGCAAAATTGATTCTTTCCAGAAGCCTGTCAGTTTCGAGAATAATGGGCACTCATTCTAGTCTGTATTGCGCTTTATTTATGCACTAACACAAGAAAATAGCGCTCCTGATACTACGTTACAATATGATTGCGATTTATCTTTGTGTACTTTGTCCCTCCTAGAAGTTTCTACGTGCTTAACCGAATCCTGTACAGTAATGAAAGACACATTTTGGTTATAATAAATAGCCAACAAATTATATTAATTATAATACTTCGGAAGCTTGGTGTTAATGACCATTACAGATATTTTTCATGGTTTCTGTAAAATCTTTTCATTCAGAGGAAAAACTCGTGCTCCCAGCATAAGAATAGTAATTTTGATAATTTAGATGAAAACCGAATTTTTCATTAATTTGGGAAAATGTATCTTAGAATTTAAAATGTAAGTTCGAATTTTCAGAAACTTTTCTTCTGCTTTCTTTAAAGTTATGAGCTAAAAGTCTATCTGTCACATAGACATGATTTCAAATGAAGACACTCTAATAAATTTTTAAATTCTTTTTTAAAATTCTAAAACAAAAAAAAATTAAAAAATTCTAAACCATAAATATCAAATAATCCAATGCTTTCTAATTTGGAATATTCAGAAATATGTACATGGACATAATAATTTCAAAATATACATTGTTATTACTATGAATAGAACATGAAATTTATTTTGTAAAACTAGAAGACAGTACTCCAGTTTAAAAATAAAAAAGTTTTTCTGAATAAAATATAAATTTTCTTCTTCTCTTTTTTCCTTAATTAAATGTTTCCTTTCGTTAAGTATTTGTAATAATTTTATACTATAATTAGCCCAAAGCGCTTTATCCCGGAAAGGCTATTAATTTCGTTTTGGCATTTTGTGGCGTTTCACTTCTCAAATTGTTGCCACCAAATATTAGAGCCCTGCATTATATTTAAAGAAATTAAATAATGAAGAATCTTCATAAATGTATGTATGTTTCTCGCATTGTGATAAAACAACGGTACCTAGAGACATCCAATTTTGAATAACGTACGTCTCCACCCGAATATGGGCATCTGGAAGCCCAAATTTGGAATTAGTTTTATTATCTATTTCATAGTTTGTAAAGCATTTATGAGTTTTTGATTAACTAATTCGGTAATTTCAAAGCAAGCAACGGCAACACTGCACAAAAAAATATTATCTCCAGGGCGCGAGACTGTGTTTCCGAAATTCTAAAGAAATGCTCTTTTAAATATTTTGTGATATTGCTGTTGAATTGAATTTTATGCTTTTAAGTACGAAGCACATGATATTTAATAAATAAAGGTACCACATAAAACGTTTAAGAAAATATAAATCTGAAAGCTTTCTAATATAAAATATAAAATCTAATATAAAATATAAATTAATATAAAATCTGAAAGCTTCTAATTTTTTAAAATATTTTTATTAGTTTTTTTTTTAAATTAATAAATGGCTAAAGTAAATTCGTATATTTTACTATTTGATTAAGACAAAAATCAATTATATAAGATATATGCGAAAATAAAAATAATATATTTAAAGAAATAATAATGAATTTTCCTGCTTTGTAAAAAAAAAAAAGTTTAATTTCATTACATTTTAGCTTATTACAACAATTTATACCACAAGAAATAAGATCATGGTTCATACGTGAGCTAAGATTTTTATACGTAAAACTGTTATCATATTTACAATTTAATTCCGATTCATGTTAAAAAATACAACATTACTTTAAATTACAAATCCTATTTTTGAAAAAAAAATGTAATTCAAATATTTCTTCGCTATTTATTAAGAAAGCAAGTAAGTACATTATTCACTAAAATTTAAGATGCATTTTATTATTGGCGTAAGAAAAAACAAATCTATATGAGTTTTAAGGCTATTTGCGAGTTGCTGCCTGCTAAGAGAGCTGGTAATATATGTGACAAGTAATATGCATTTTACTTTAGGAAGTTTGTTTTTGACCCACCTTTATTTCCGTTAAATATAAATATTTTTTTAAATGTTTCTCTAATCAGTTTTTATTCACTGAAGGTAGAGCAATTAAAGTTATTTCAGGTTTATTTAAATGAGGTGAGAGATGTCTGCCGAAGCCATCCTTGAAGTCCACCATTTGAAGCATGTTGTTCATCAAGTAAATTATTCAACCCTAAAGGAAAACGTGCATTTTATAAACAGCTCCTGAATGAGTAACTTGTTATTTGCTTCCCAGGTCACATATCTCGCGCATCCATTAATGCCTACGCAGACGTGCTTCATCCAATAAATTGAAGCAATTTGAAGCGTTGGTATTTTTGTTTATTTTCGGATTTTTGTACAGATTGTGGTATTTTCCAGCAATGTGCATTCCTTATCACTAAACAATGTCCATTTAACAAAATGGAAATTTTCAACATTTTTCAAATGCAAAATTAAAGTATGAGAACTAACCTTTATTGAAAAAATAAAATTCAAAAGTTTCAGCTCTTAACCAGTTACCTGTGATTAACAAGTATACTCGTCATGAAGAAGCGGCACGATTTTGTGTATTTCCGAGTATACTCGTCATGAGTATAATGAAATGGAAAGATAAGAGGGAAATTTATTTAGTAAGTACTGTACATAATGACAACGTAATAGAAACAGAGAAAAGAAAAATAATAACAAAGAAACCGGAGCTAGTGATTGATTATAATAAAAAAATAGGTGGAGTGGATAGGAGCGATGGAATTATCATAGAGTACTCCACAGCAAGAAAACAAATCAAAAAGTACTACAAAAAGATGTTTTTCCATTTCTTAGACTTTATGTGTCTGAATGCATTCATATTATATAAAAAAAAATAATGGAACATTATCGCGTATCAACTTTTTGCTCAAATTTATTGAAGACACTTTTGCGACGTATCCAGTTGAAAAAAATAAATCCATACAAACTCCGCCATTTAGACCTAATATAAACCAATTAGGCGGGAATCATGTCCCGATTATATACCCGGAACATCGGAAAAAAAAAAAAAAAAAAAAAAAAAAAAAAAAAAAAAAAAAAAAAAACCTACGCGAGGTGTTCGCAGGGCTACAAACGTAAGATCACGAAGAAAATCGCGCGTTTACTGGTGTTCGTTTTTGCAAAGTCCCACCTGTTTCGCTGAATGAATATCACTCCACAGCAGGAATTTAAATTCTTACTTTTTATATGATAATATTTAATTTAATTGATTGCGTTTTTATTTTAATATGAATGTAATATATGCTTATGTTAACAAAATAAGTAAATACTAGTAATAAAATTTTCAATTTTATAAAATAAACCCATCTTTTTCTTCCAATATTTTACCAGCGCAACTTACTCTGTGATGGGCGAACATACTCGTCATGGCTCGATTCTGGCGACACATAACGGTGCGCACTCTTAAACGAGAGCGCCATAGTTAACTGGTTAAAAGTCGCTTCAAAGGGTTGATTAGGGCTTTTTACAATCTTGCTGAGCTTGCAGTGTACAACTCTGCTGTTTCACTCACTCTGACTAATTCTCTCTTTTTTTTTTTTTTTTTTTTTTTTGGCCTATTTAACTTTATTATTGCTATTTCTTCGCTCTTTGGCCGGAAACAATTCAACAGCAAAATGGCAAAAACTTTAAAAGCGGCATAGCAGTATACGTTTAGAATTTCCCAGGCAACGTTAAGTGTCGGTATATATTGTTCCGCTTTCTTCAGTCTGTAGAGACATTAGGTTAATTGGAAAAGCCGGAGACATGAAAAATTAGCCTTCGCCGGGAATCGAACCACGAACCTCTGGAATACCGGCCCAGCGCGCAGAACCACTACATCACTAAGGCACGCTAGGAAGGCAGGAGAAATACCTTATAAGTCTTTTCTCAGTTCATCATGCCAATGGTCAGTTTCCTTATTAAGATGACTTTACAAAACTTTTGTTGTCTTATTATTAACATTTTCTGTGTTTACTTTATTTATTAAATATCACGTTCTTAGCGCTAAAGCCACATAAAATTCGATTCAAGAGCAAATCCCAAAATATTTAAAAACAGCATATTTTTAGAATTTGCGATACATAGTCTCGCGCGCCGGAAATAAAAATGTTTTAAAAAAGTACAAGTAAGTAAAAAAGTAAAGTTTTACAAAATATGAAATAGATAATAATGAAATACGAAATTCAAAACTTAGGCTTCTAGGTGCCAACGTGGAGGACTACGTTATTCAAAATTTGATTTTTCACATTTCGAGAAACAAAGATATATACATGCTGATCCTTCATTATTTAATTTCTGTAAATATAATTCCGGCCGATAATATTGGCAAGAATTTCAAAAGTGATACGACGTATGTAAGTGTTTCGAAGCAAAATGAGCTTCGACACTATTGTTCATTCGGGACTAAGCCCCTTTTACGGTTATGATGCCTTTGTCTTTAA